AAGAAAAAATAGCAAGGGCAGAAATAAGTAATAAGAGACGGCAGCAAATGGAAACGGGGTACTCAAAAGCCAGCTGGAAGACAAGACATGGAGATGAAAAACTTCCAAGACTGCAGTCATCAAAATCATATTCATCAGTGACTTATAACAATTGTGCTCTTATTTCTCCAAATACCATCATGACAACAACAATGACAAAAAAAAAAAAAAACTCCCCATTACCAACATGAAGTAATGAGAAATTTTTTATTCCCTTTCATGTACACTTTCATAGCTCCATGCTTTTTGTAAGTACTAGGATAGGCATGGAAATATGAAATACTACAATCAATCCTCAAAGTCGTAAAATCAAATAAAAATCAAGACTTTTCTTACACCCAACATCTTATCACTAGCAACCTGAATATGAAACATTACATTTTTTTGGTATCTAATATAAGCACTACGAGTTACTGTCACTACAGACATCTTTCCATACTTCTGTAACGTCTGATATGATGTTGAACTGAAGTCAAGGTCTACATAACACAATATAACCTAATTTGTAAGTAGCCGTGATACAGTAAATATACCATACACGGCTCATTTGACACCCTTACAACACGTGCAAGAAATGCAAACATTACTCAGACTATTCACCAAATTGTGACATGGAACTTATCTTATAACTTACTGGTAAATCAGTAAAGTTCAGGAGGAAATCTGAATTAATATAATTTGACTGTTTCACATACATAAGCATAATTCTTATCATCTATATCATAATCTTATCTTCAGGTGATGTGATATAGGAGGGTGAACCTCAACCAAAGAAATTCTTTCTGTCTTTCTTTCTATCTTTTCTGTCTTTAGATACAATTCCTTTGGCCTGAGATGTACAACATATGCATGCACATTATCATGTAACATGTTAGTTTTATAAACATTCGTATATCATTCCAAATATAGCTTTTAAAGCCATGAGGATCAGAAACCTTAACAAATAACAAAATAAAATTCAGGTTACAAATGTTACTCCTTTATGTCTGACACATTTTACCCCTTCCAATATCAGGTAAGTAAAGGAAATCAAGAGTTTAATGTAATATGCATTTCATGTACAGAACATAGCATAACTGCTATATACAATATGATTCCCTAGCATGCATTTAGTCACAGGACTGATAAAAACACCAGGCTGGTATCACCGGTCATCTGTAAGGTTGTGCAGTCTGATATAGAACTCTGATTTCTTATATGGTACATTAAGTGGTACACCACTATACTACACCAGAGAGTAACAGCAAGCTGAACTTACAACATAGGAACTTTTTAAAAGTAAAATTATCTGAAGACTATGATCATCCACCAACTCAACATGTATTCCAGTCCTGCCTACAACTAATCAAATTGGCTCCAAAAAAAAATCATTTTGCTTCTTAAGTACTGTGAAAACTGTTGGTAGTATGTGTGTGTATCATACGTATAAACATTTTAACACACATACATACATATATATACACATACACACATATCTTGCTTTATGAGCCATGTGTACCCTTGCCTTCTGGGAGCTTTACTCTTCCTGCCAAATCTAACAGCTTCACACAGGAAAGGTCTAACGGAAGGCCTTTCTCAACGGTTATTCTTGGCCATGGAGTGGATGGCCCAGTTGACGGAGGTCTTCCACGAATTTGACAAGGCCTCATCGAACTTAGATCTGAAGTGCTCCAAGGCATCGGTTTCTGTCAAGTCCAGTTTCTGGAAAGAACACGAGATGGCTTGGATTACGAATTTTGCAAAAACTATATGCAGAAGGAATCAAAACATTCAAGCAATAAAATTCCTAGAAAACAGACTTTGGGAAGAAAAATTATAAGAATATAGACAGGAGACAAAATGATAACAATGTGGGGGGAAATAAATAAAAAGGGGGAAAAAAAAAAAAAAAATCCACAATCATCCTTAACTGGGATAGAAAAATAATCAGAAATGAACAACAAACCTATAAATGAGCTATACAATTTGACAATACTTTGACATTTCATTGAATATCAACTTGACCCTCAGAGTCCCTCAGAATCAATAAGGCAAATGCATATTCTTTTCCTTTTCTTCATTCTTATTATTAACAACTAGTATATGACCCTGAAACGAAAGTTACCATCACTACTGCTATTCTACTTACAAGAGTTTCCTTTAAGTAGTCCAGATCTTTCTCGCTCTGTAACTCAGGCAGGCCAGTCGAGATCATCATGGCAAACAGTGATATGATGAAGGATCCATAGCGTCGCAGGATTAGGAAGGCCTGTGAAAAGGAGGGAGGAAAAGTTATTCCCCATTACTGGGCATGTAAATGAGTGCCAAACAATATTCATCTGGTGATTTTTTTCAGAATGTTCCATATCTAAACTATACTAGTATTTAAAAGTTTGCAATTATCAGTTTGGTAATGCACTTGTAATTAACTTCTTAAAGTGGAGAGTCCTATATGGCTCTCTTTTGAATTTTGACCTACCTACCTACAACACCCACTTATATTTCTAAAAAACTAATAAATCACTAGTAACCTGTCTTGAACCTACCTGCTCACAGTACAGCTTAAACTGTATGAATTCCTCCGAGCGCGTCCTGCCCTTGGTGATCACATGGATGAAGTCATGAGTCAGGACAAACGGCTGCCTCTCTCGCTTGATGCCAAACTTCTCCTTGAAGTGTCCCAGAATGTGACCGAAGTCGATGTGGAACAGCTGTCCGTTTTTCATTATCATGATGTTGTCTGAGTGACGGTCAGCCACACCGAGAACGTATGTGGCCACACAGTACCCAGCACACGAAAGGGTGAACTCCTGAATAGCCTTGTTCAGCATGGCTTCTGTGGTGTTGTGATCCTTCAACCAGGCTGTGTGAAGTGGCAGAGAGTTTGTAAGAAAAGATTCTTTGTCTACAAACAAGGTACATGTATATACAGCCATTCCCCTTATTAGAAGTTTTTTTCTTACCTGCCAGCTGTATACATGGATGGTTGTTAATCATACAGGTCAGGAGTAGGGGAGAGGCAGCATATACAGATTAATTAGTCAATTTAATATTTCATATATTCTCTAATAAAGACTACATTTACCTGGTTTGCTATGAATTTTCTATGATATACTTTGGGAGACTTACCCAATAAAGACCCCTTCCTGAATGCACAGGTGGCTGAGAACACTCCCTTTTTCCTCTGTATATTGGCAATTGTCTCAGCATTCAGCACCACTTGAATGATACCCTCCCGGTTGTCTGTAGACATACAGCTGTATGGATTCATTCTGAAAAACAAAAACTTTGTTAATAATCAGATGAGTTACATATCACCTGAAAATATCCTAAATTCAAAATATTCTGAAGGAACACCCTGAAAAGTACTTTTTTCTATATCCCCACTAAAATGGACAGCTCAATTCATTTCCTACAAAAAAGAAAAGAAAAGAAAAAGTAAAAATACCTGAGATCAAGCCCATGATCCTTCCAGAGCTTGTCCATAATCTTGATCATCTGCAGAGTCAACATGTCCTGCCGAAGGTCATCTCCGTACTTGTACAGGAGGTAGATCTTCTTGCCGTGTGAGTCCCCGTTCTCGAAGACCAGCCAGAGAGGGGCCATCTTGCTGTCCTTGAACTTGCATTCGTCAGAGCTGCAAGTGAAACGGATGGTAAGAAAGAAGAACAACGACTTGGGATTTTCTGATGTGTATTTATCATAGAGAACATCACCATCATTATCGCTGCTGGGGAAGCGGCTAAGCAAGTATTCCTTCTGTTGCTTTTGAATTCTTACAATAATCTTTACAATTACTATCCTGATAGGTGAGACAATAGCACTATTTAGTACTTGCTTTATCATTTCAGTTAGTCATTTACACTATTCTGTTTTGTTTTATTTCTGATAAGTTTTGTACATTTATAAATGTTACTTATACATTCTAAATGTACAGGTGATACCTAAAGTTCCATTAGTAAAAGAAGAAGAAAAGAAGACACATAACACACTTTCTCTGAAATAAATCAACAAATTAATGAATAAAAATCAACACACTCCCATTACTTACTTGATGTTGCTGATTCTGTACATGGGATCTATGGGGTTGAGGAAGTGCGACAGGGCAGAGCGGGTATGGGGTTGGTTCATGTACTCCTTCATCATCCTTTCAGCGCGGTCTCTTACTGAACGGTTTTCATTGACAACACCTCTGACCTCTGGAAGAATTATAATTTTTTTGAGTACAGTGTAATGAAATTTACACAAGACAAGGAATTATTATATGTTATGACAAAATCACATTTCCAGGTTCTCATACTTGAAAGCATTGGGGAAAAAATAAATAAATAAATAAATAAGAAATTAAAAAATATAAATATAAATAAAAAAACAAAATAAAATAAAACTATAAATCCATTGTGGTTACCTTTAAATTTATTTAGTGCATCTAACTGTCTGAGCAAGATCTTCATATGTTCCACAGATCCCCTGCAGTACGCCTCCAGTATCAGACCAAAGCGAATGGATACAGAGGGAACATGCATCTCTGACCTGGGAAGGCAAAAATTAATAGTTGTTGAATGACACAGACAGAATCACAAGTAAACATTCTAGATGACTAGACATTAGAAATATACATAACACAAAAAAAAGGGAGGCAAAAGGAACCCTACCAAAAATATCTCACTGATATCTTTTTACACTATCCAACTAAATTATACATTTCTCTCCAAGTCCACTCACCGCAGATGCCAAAAGAAGAAATGGCCGATTCGCATATTCCTGAGGGCTCTATTAAGGAGAAACTCAACTAGATGACAATACAGGTAATTTTCGTGCTTCAGAGCTTGAACTAACTGCAGCAGGTACAGAAGCAGGTCATCATCGCTGTTGAACAAAAAGCAAATCAAATACCCAAAATAAAACCAAAAAATATATACACAAATTATTTTCTTTGTTATCATCTATATTCCTGGATTTCACACCATACATAACAACCTTCCTTTCTCCAAACTGACAGTCCAAGACTTACCTAATAGGTGCTAGGCACTCTATGGCATAACTTCGAACAGCGGGTTCAGGGTAGGCGTAATCTAGAAGCTCCAACGCTCGGTCTGGTGATAGTTTGGGCCACTCTTCCAACAGTGCTATCATCTCTGCCACCTGCCATGTGCAGTCTCTTATTTAGTAGTTTGAATATTATGCAATTTGTGGTTTTGCAAATATATCTTTTGTGATGGAAATAGGTTTTCAGTTAACTAAAGGAATTATGAATTCTTTACTACATTAGACTTCATATAAGTCTAGCCAGTAATGAATAATTTTTCTCCATATTTAAAAACTGAAACAATCAAATTAACATCTCTCTTAAACATTAATCCCATTGATACCAGGATGTAAGAGAGATAAGTGCTATGTCCACTTTGTTTTTAGGTTACACATAGATGATTCCACATGAGCTTTGTCATCAAGGATTCAATTGTTAGTCCTACAAGCCAACAGCTTTTGAAAAAATAAAATGTTTCCTAGAAAATTTAAGCAATGGTGGTCAGCTAGGCCTACTAAGTGACTCTTTGGTGATTATACACTTGTGGGGCCTTCTATCTATAAACAGAAATCCACATAAAGAAAACTACAGTGGACTTGAAGGCAGCCATCACTGTCAAGAGAACTCCATCCAATGACCACAAACATGCAAGAAATCTCTCCAGGGGGATCTTACCTCTGCCTTGTTATCCCATTCCACACACTGCAGGAGTTTTGGCAAAAGATGTGGGATCTTCTGTCGACAGGTATTCCTCAGTGACCAGATCAGTTTACGCTCTTGTTCATGAAGCTCTGTTAACGGGTCTCTTTCGGCTATCTGACGGACTTCTTCCATCTTGCTTACCGTTGGAACCATCTTCAGTGGGATGAAGCAAAGAAGTAATGAAGGAAAGAGTTAGAAAAATAGAGGAAAAAAATAAATATAAATAACACCATGAAATGCAGATATTTTCTTTTCTTTTTTTTAAACGAAACTGTCATCTATTTACACATACATCATAGATACCAGTCCCCCTGAAACAGAGAATACTACACAGTGTGAAGCTTTTAAGACAGAATGTGAACACACCTCATCTGTGGATGGATTCTCCTTCGCAGCAGATATGATCTTGTCTCTCGATGGAAAGATGATGGCCGATGTTGAGTGGTACTTCGTGAAAGACACAGTCAGCGTGACAGCCTGATCGTGGTCTGGGTTGCTGACCAGGGTGCCAAGGGGGTTTGGCATGCCCACATCTCCCGACTGATCCTCATAGATCTTCCATGCATAGAGTGACATAGATCCTCCCTTCAGCTGGTTGCGGTAGTCGTATACTGCCGTGTTGACCCATGCAAGGGGATTCTTGTACAGCTCCTGAAGGTGTTAATGGGAAATGGTTGAATAAAAAGTAACATAAGAGGAGGGATCTAGATTGAGAGTTGATTTAGAATATACTCTAAGAGAATTTTATCTCTGCAGAAAACCACAAACCAAGTAAATTTTCTTGAACAGTATTGTAAATTGGAAAAAAGTGAAGAAATTATGCAGTTTTAACTTTCTCTGATCTAACAGGAGTGAATCATGATAAAAAAAGTACAACTACCTATTCTTAAGATCACACAAATGAACCCATAAACAAATTAACAAAACCTTCTTGCACAGCACTCACCGGCCTTGTGCCAATAGACGATCTCGCTTTGGTGGCTTTGGCACTACGCGTCACTTCATAAATGGCCAAGCAGAGACGAGTGCTCCGGGGAATGTTGCAGACATCAATGCCAAAGCTGAGTGTCTCCTCTATCACAGCCTCTCCATCCCGTACACTGACCTCCTGTGTAGTCTGGGTCTCGCACAAGGCATTACTGCCGTGGTACAAGCCAGCTTCTACCACCACCTAGGAATACACAATTTCACAAATGAATATATTCAGATCAAGGTATGAATGAGAATGTATTCTTTTAGATATCTAACTTTACATTAGTATCTTTAACTGGACTAAAATCCATAAAACAGAAAAAGAAAACAGTAAAGAAAGAGAATATGCACAAGAATAGTGAAGGTAAGATCGGCCTTCTCCCCAGAATTAGACAAAAGCATCACAATGTCATGTCAATCATGCATCTTGCTTTGCTAATTCCTTCTCTCTCCTCTGCACCTTTATCAATATCCTTCTTTACCTCCTTCTGGTCGTCTGAATCCAGATTAAGCTTGGTGATCGTCCCAATCTGGAAGCTGAAGCGATCCGTAATGGACCACGATGAAATGAAGGTGACGTTCTTCTTCTTGCTGAGCGTCATGCCAGAGAAGGAGTTCCTCATGTGCTTTGTCATCAAGGATTCAATTGTTAGTCCTACAAGCCAACAGCTTTTGAAAAAATAAAATGTTTCCTAGAAAATTTAAGCAATGGTGGTCAGCTAGGCCTACTAAGTGACTCTTTGGTGATTATACACTTGTGGGGCCTTCTATCTATAAACAGAAATCCACATAAAGAAAACTACAGTGGACTTGAAGGCAGCCATCACTGTCAAGAGAACTCCATCCAATGACCACAAACATGCAAGAAATCTCTCCAGGGGGATCTTACCTCTGCCTTGTTATCCCATTCCACACACTGCAGGAGTTTTGGCAAAAGATGTGGGATCTTCTGTCGACAGGTATTCCTCAGTGACCAGATCAGTTTACGCTCTTGTTCATGAAGCTCTGTTAACGGGTCTCTTTCGGCTATCTGACGGACTTCTTCCATCTTGCTTACCGTTGGAACCATCTTCAGTGGGATGAAGCAAAGAAGTAATGAAGGAAAGAATTAGAAAAATAGAGGAAAAAAATAAAATATAAATAACACCATGAAATGCAGATATTTTCTTTTCTTTTTTTTAAACGAAACTGTCATCTATTCACATATACATCATAGATAACAGTCCCCCTGAAACAGAGAATACTACACAGTGTGAAGCTTTTAAGACAGAATGTGAACACACCTCATCTGTGGATGGATTCTCCTTTGCAGCGGATATGATCTTGTCTCTCGATGGAAAGATGATGGCCGATGTTGAGTGGTACTTCGTGAAAGACACAGTCAGCGTGACAGCCTGATCGTGGTCTGGGTTGCTGACCAGGGTGCCAAGGGGGTTTGGCATGCCCACATCTCCCGACTGATCCTCATAGATCTTCCATGCATAGAGTGACATAGATCCTCCCTTCAGCTGGTTGCGGTAGTCGTATACTGCCGTGTTGACCCATGCAAGGGGATTCTTGTACAGCTCCTGAAGGTGTTAATGGGAAATGGTTGAATAAAAAGTAACATAAGAGGAGGGATCTAGATTGAGAGTTGATTTAGAATATACTCTAAGAGAATTTTATCTCTGCAGAAAACCACAAACCAAGTAAATTTTCTTGAACAGTATTGTAAATTGGAAAAAAGTGAAGAAATTATGCAGTTTTAACTTTCTCTGATCTAACAGGAGTGAATCATGATAAAAAAAGTACAACTACCTATTCTTAAGATCACACAAATGAACCCATAAACAAATTAACAAAACCTTCTTGCACAGCACTCACCGGCCTTGTGCCAATAGACGATCTCGCTTTGGTGGCTTTGGCACTACGCGTCACTTCATAAATGGCCAAGCAGAGACGAGTGCTCCGGGGAATGTTGCAGACATCAATGCCAAAGCTGAGTGTCTCCTCTATCACAGCCTCTCCATCCCGTACACTGACCTCCTGTGTAGTCTGGGTCTCGCACAAGGCATTACTGCCGTGGTACAAGCCAGCTTCTACCACCACCTAGGAATACACAATTTCACAAATGAATATATTCAGTTTAAGGTATGAATGAGAATGTATTCTTTTAGATATCTAACTTTACATTAGTATCTTTAACTGGACTAAAATCCATAAAACAGAAAAAGAAAACAGTAAAGAAAGAGAATATGCACAAGAATAGTGAAGGTAAGATCAGCTTTCTCCCCAGAATTAGACAGAAGCATCACAATGTCATGTCAATCATGCATCTTGTTTTGCTAATTCCTTCTCTTTCCTCTGCACCTTTATCAATATCCTTCTTTACCTCCTTCTGGTCGTCTGAATCCAGATTAAGCTTGGTGATCGTCCCAATCTGGAAGCTGAAGCGATCCGTAATGGACCACGATGAAATGAAGGTGACGTTCTTCTTCTTGCTGAGCGTCATGCCAGAGAAGGAGTTCCTCATGTGCTTAACTCCATCGGCAATCCTTTCACAGATGTTATCAATGTCGACTGTGCGTATGAAAGGATAAATACATGCAATGAAAACTTCTGAGATGTCTAGTAACATAATGTACTTGTGAAAATATTTATATATTATTACTATATTCATTATTACTACATATATATTACTTTCTGTAAGGCTCAATACAAATAATAATAAACATTACTGAAAAAGAAAGATATCTAGAACCGTCTCTACAGAACCATCAAGAACAAGGCAGATATCTTCCCTCCTGTAAGATGTCATCTGAATCAATGACGATACTCACCTTGAATCGTTCCTCGATGAACAATGACTAGGGGAATTGGCGAAAACTGGTCTTGGCACACATGTTCACGGATATACATATACTGCGACAAATGCACATCGGCTATCAGGTACTCTTCCTTTCCAGGTGTCTGCAAAATAAGGGAACGTAACAACAAACACAGTGAGACAGAGAGCTCAAAGAGAAAAAAGAAACAGACAATAAAAAAAACAAAACAAAAAAACAATCAGAACAACTGTCTATATTTCATGTTTTTTAAAAACTCTAAATGCCCTATCACTAAAACTGCAATGGTTTAACCTGTCAATGAAAGTATCATAAATCTCTCAGCATCACTGACTCTGATGATTTAATAATAATAATAATAATAATAATAATAATAATAATAATCAGTTTATTGATTTTCATGCAGCCAGAGGCTGAAAATATACATAGAAAAAATATAGTAACCATCCTGCCATTTGGCTCAGGAGGCTCCTACAGGTAGCATAACTTTTTGCTCGACTTGCTCTAGTGTGTTGTGATGCTTATAGCCATACCCAGCGTGATGAGTCAGTTTGTCATGGCTGTAGGCGTGGCCCAGATGATGCAGGTTAAATTCCATAGTTCCCATTATGAATCAAAAGTCTCACATTACCATTACCATCTTTCTTACCTTTAGGACATAGTTTTCTGCAGCTTCTTCTATCACAAATGTTATTGAGAGTTTTGCAAGTGCCATGTCAAGGAAATCGACTGTCTTCATATCCGGTCTGACCCGGAAAGTGAAGGTAGACTGCACCTGTAGAAATAACAAGGTCAAAGGCATTAATTTACATATAGCATATAATATATTCTAGCATAAACATTTAAAGGAGAAGTAAAATGATGCTTGTTTAATGGCTTATCAAAAAATTATCCAACAAATATGAATACATATGTTATAGGAATACAATTATTGTGTTTTTGCACAAAATATCAAGATAATATATCTATAGCTTATGGAAACGTCAATTCCCTTTACAGGCAATAAAACAATTATGAACTCAATATACCCGTAAAGTAAGTTCTTACATGCAAATGATCTCCTGAAAGATGATGATGATGATGGGGAAGAAGAAGAAAGATTTAAAAGTAATACTAATGAGAAAGAGTTTATCACCTGCATTGCTGTATCAAACTGTACAGACAACAAAAGCTGTCCATCTTGCAGCCTGTCCAAGATATAGTTCGGCAACTGTTCGTTTGCTGCAATTCGTGCTGGATATTGATATTGTACCTGAAATGGCAAAAACCTGTTAATGAATACATTTTCAGCTGCAATGATTTTTTATAATACCAAAAGAAAAACAGACATAAAAATAACACATGGTATATGTCTCGTATATACTAATCAACTAAAATCTAATCACAATTTATCTTCAAATAAGCAAATAAGTATCTTATCAACAGTTAAAATTTCATGTTTGAGACATGCAAACTCAAAGGATCAGGTGATTCATATTCTTTATACATCTTTTATTCATTCATCATTATTATCATTATTATAATCAACTTTCTTTCTCCATAACTTATACATCTATTGCTTGAAAATCTACAATATTATACAACTGGCTAACAGTTTAGACACAAAAAGGACTCTTGTAATTAAAATCCTAATTCTCCTTTTAGTGTTATTAATACAATGGATTTAATTTCCTATATTTGGCTACATAACATTATAATATTTACAGAATATTTATAATATTTATTTATAAATATTCATATTTACGTAACATTAGAATATCTACAGAAAACACAAGCTCACCTTTGAAAAATATCTAAAAATATCTAGCAAGCAAGAGCACACACAACAATTCTGAAGTTCTGACAGCCACTACCTCAGACACAAGAATATATCGCACAAAACGTACTTGTTCAGTCCATGTGAGTTTATTTCTTGAAGCCACAACCTCATCACAAACAGCCTTCATCTTCCATCTAAATTCATTAACCTCTGGATTCTTGAGGGCATCAAACTTCTGAAGTTCTGTAAAAATGAAGCTAATTTAGTAAATACAAACATCACAAAGATGAAGTCAACATTAGTTCAATACGGTATACGCATACCATGTTCACTATAGTATGTGCATACCATATAGTGACATGTAAATACTTTTAAAAGTAGAGTCTGTTGTATTAAGCCTGGATGTACAAAATAAAAACTCATTTGTATGTTTATTTAGTCATGCTTTTGTCTGAAGTACTATCTGTTTCAATATTTGTCTGTTAATATCTGGGTAAAAATCATGGCTACTTACTACAGCTTTTAACCCCTTTAGACTCATGCCTTTAGTCTTCTTAAACATGGATAATATATCATTACATCCTTTCCCTCAAATTCTTAACTGTTATAATCTATTCTGCAATGAATGAATTTTTTTTTTCTTTTCATTATGATTCATTTTGTGTCCTAATATTCATTAGTATCAAACTTGAAAACTTAGGGCAAAGCTACTAAAATTTTCTGTCCAACTAACATATTTTCCTTTCAAAGATTCATAAACATTACCTGGAAAAACAACAACATAATATTAGCAACAGAAGACTATTTCCCAAGTGAACAGGTATATGAATGTGGGTAATACAAGCACTAACAAAATGTTTTCACATATGCCTGTACGTGTTTCTGGTATGTGGAGGTATTCTAGTACAACAACAACACCACCAAAGGGAGAGTAATCCAGTATTCCTTCCATACCTTTGCCGATCAGCTGACCAATCTGCAGGTTAAGTAACTTCTCGGTTTCATTGCCTTTCCGCTCCACCACCTTTAGCACACAGAGGAAAGGGTTGATTTCCTGCAAACACTTGCTCTCGTCCATGAGCTCAAGGGTCTCGGATCTCTGACTGACACAGGCGAAGTGGTAAGCTGAGAGCTCATGCAGTGTTCCAAACAGAGGATACTCACTGGCACGTTCCCACAGTTCCTGCGAAAAATCTTGGTGAGTTGGAGGAATAGACTGCACAGATGGTCACCCCAGTTCTTATATCGATCTACTCCCCATAGACATCTACAGTTGATTGTCTAGTATAGTGACCATTAAAAAAAATTACAACAATAATAAAAAATAAAATAACTGAATATAAAGGGAACAAATAACCAAACACTTCCAACAAGTGAATTTCATTTCTGTATCTTTATCAATCACTCTATCCTTACAAAACTATCATCTCAAACACCATAACCATCACATATTACAATGACAGCATGAACCAGTAGGACCTATGACATCAACACAAGGCTCCTCTACTCACTTCCTTAATCTCCGCAAGTGTGGCGCTTGTGCTGACATGGTGCTGGATTATGATGCTGTTGGGCATCAGGAAATCCACTTGTACTGTTGATGGGGTACTGTGGGGTCCCCTCAACCCTCCCAACTCCATGCCCAGGCCCTGCATGAGCTGGGAGGAGTATGGGAGGGGTCGGGGCCTCCCCATCGGAACGGTCGGCATTTCCCTGGTGCCTCCTGGAGGGGAAGGTGGGTCCGGTTATTTCCTTCCTTATTTCAGGAACTGATCAAGCAAATAAACAGAACTTGTTTAAAAAAGAAAGGAAGGAAGGAAGGGAAGGTAAAGAGACTGAATAGAATTCACAACAATGCAAATATGTCAAGCTCATCAATCATTTCAAGATTGTGAACAATGTAATCATGAATCTATCATGAAGCTATGATTAGCATTCTCGAAATTTTCCACAAAAAATGACAAAGCCTAAAGCAAAAAGAAACTCAAGAATTATTATACAAACCAACACAAATCAGAAATCATGGACTAACAATATCTTAAAAATCTAATTTCAGCTAGAGACTCTTTCAAAAACTAACAGCATAAGTGAAAATTACAAGCAGGGTTGTGACTCAGCTGGATTTTCACCAACTGTTACTATGGATGTTAATCAGCATAAAAAAAAAGAAAGAAAAAAAAAATGGAGACTAATGATACATTTTGGAAGGAAAAGCCCATGGGGGAAAACCAAATCTAATCTCTATACATTTATATATAAAGGAAGGAAGGAAGGATGGGGAGGAAAAAAAAGAAAAAAAAGAAAAGAAATATATATACATGTAGAGAGAGAGAGAGAAATGTATTATGTATCAGAAAATAATGAAAGCTAATATATATTTCTTTCATTTGGAAAACAGAATAACTAGTACAAGGTAAAGAGACTGAATAGAATTCACAACAATGCAAATATGTCAAGCTCATCAATCATTTCAAGATTGTGAACAATGTAATCATGAATCTATCATGAAGCTATGATTAGCAATTCTCGAAATTTTCCACAAAAAATGACAAAGCCTAAAGCAAAAAGAAACTCAAGAATTATTATACAAACCAACACAAATCAGAAATCATGGACTAACAATATCTTAAAAATCTAATTTCAGCTAGAGACTCTTTCAAAAACTAACAGCGCAAGTGAAAATTACAAGCAGGGTTGTGACTCAGCTGGATTTTCACCAACTGTTACTATGGATGTTAATCAGCATAAAAAAAAAGAAAGAAAAAAAAAATGGAGACTAATGATACATTTTGGAAGGAAAAGCCCATGGGGGAAAACCAAATCTAATCTCTATACATTTATATATATAAAATAAATAAATAAATAAATGAATAAATAAGCAGCAACTCAATTTGGGGGAATCTTGAAGTCCTCAGTTCTTTGGCATTCACTTACATCGGTGGAGAGGATGAAATAATCAATGCGGATGATATAAAATGCATCAAAATGATAAAGAGACTATCAGCTATAAGTCAGAAAGATAAAAAGATAAACTTCTAAGTAAGAATAAGTATATTCAAGAATTAAAAACACACTGCCCCGTTTCCTGACTTTACATGCAGAATCTCCAATATGAGTGAGTCAGATCCAGGCCTCATGAAACTATTCTGAGAGATTCAGTTACCTAAATCATGGCTTGCTGTTTAGAAAAATACATAGCGTTTTCTACATTCTCTTTAGACAAGAGAAGAAAAAGAATCAAGTTTGTACCTATTATCAATAGCCTCAACATTGATAACAATAATAATAATAATTAACTAATAATAATAAGAATTACTATTATTATTATCATTATCATTACTATCATTTTTGTTATAATAATAACAATAATAATAATAATAATAATAATAATAATAATAATAATAAAAATAATAACAACAACAATAATAATAATAATAATAATAATAATATTAATAATAATAATAATATTAATAATAACATTAATAATAATAATAATAATAGTAGTAGTAGTAGTAATAATAAAAATAATAATATCAATAACATTAACAATTATAATTATAGTGATCATAGTAATAGTAATAGTAAAAGTAATAACAAAAATAATAAAAGAAAAAAATTAATAACAAAAATAATAAAAAAATAATAACAAAAATCTAATAAAATAATAACACTAACAATAAAATAATAACAGCAACAACAATCAACAACAATATATTATTAAAAACACAATTTCATCACAAAATGCAATGCTCCAGAAGGGAGTATCCTAGGCTAATATATTACCACTTCTGACCCAAGGTATTCTGCTAACAGACCAAACTGATCCAATGTCCTTTACACTCTGATTCTTGTAGCAACACTGATTATTTTATTCTTAGCCCAACGCATAGCAGACAATACCACAAAATCTAATCCCAAAATTGACGTGAAAATTGAATCAAAATAAATATACAGATAAAAGAAGATAAATAGTGTTCAAAGCCATTTATAAGAGGGCCTACTCATGAAAGAAAAAGCTCTGGATGTAACACAGTAACAAAGTTGAAAACTATATTCCCTTATCATTCAAGAAAAGCTTCCCCAGACATATCATATGAATTATATATCAGTGTATGGAAAACTCCTTTTATTCAAACACGTAAAAGAATTCAGCATGCAAGTTTCACATAAAAAACACTTAATGACCTGAAATATTATATATATATTTATCCATGCACCTGTAGGAATATACCTTCTTATATAGTATCAAGTTTCAATGAATCAGAAAATGTGTATATTCCTGTAAAACATGGATATAAGAAGTAAAGTGAAAATCATTACATTTGATAAGTAGCAATATAAAGAAAAAAGAAAAAAACATTGTGCAAATGCACAAAAAAAAAAACTTCAGAAATATAGATGTAAACAAATGATTTATCATATTCATTAAGGACTATATAAAATATTATATATATATATATTCTTATATAGATTATATCTGTGAAGCCATAGGGCATATATGTAAATATTTGTTCATAATTAAAGGACAACTTCATACAAATATTTGTTTATCATTAATAAAGAATCAGACTAACACAAAGAAAAAAATATTTTAAAAAATATGGTTCAATTTTATTTCTTCCAACAGATCTGTGAAGCACTGCCTATGAGGAACCAAACTACACATATTAATATAAAAATCTGATTACGTAAGAAAAACAACTGAGGCTAACCTGGAAACTTGGTAAAATCTACTTTTTTCAATGTCTGACCTCCAAGAATCAGTCCTCAATAGGGAAAAACTGATCTGCAGAAGGGAAGTGATCCTTGCAAAATGAACACCCAACTCTGAGCCTAGTCTCAAAATCCCTTTAATATCAAATTTTGAAAAGCCAATGTGGGTCGTCTCAATTACAACCTCTTGTATTAGATATAGTTATGAGAGAAAATTTAAATAATGAACTATAGAACATTATGCCATTGATCTGTTTTCTTATCAAAAATAAAGTAAGATAAATGAATAACAGAAGTTGTTTTTACTAGTCCAATACCCATTTTTCTAGTATACAAATGACTAAAAAAGAGAATATTAAAGATATAAACAAATAAATAAATCCACATTTCTGGCAGCTCTAACTGTTTATCACTCGTATATCTATAGAGGAGGAGGAGGCACTGGAAGGGAATAAACACAGTAGGACACTGAAGCAGAGACAGAGTATTATGCATGCAAGCTCTATTGGCTTTCTATGAATCATACGTACATCGCAGGGATAACTATCTTGGCCGAAAAAGAATTGAGGACAGGAACAGTTACAAAAAAAAATTCTATATATACATATATGTATATATACATATATTGTAAATATATATACATATATATCATAAATATATCTATATATATATATATATCATAAATATACATATACACATTTATATATATATATATATATATATATATATATATATATATATATATATATATATATATGGAATATACATATACAAATCAAATTATAAAAGCTATATAAACATTAAGTGTCTCCTTGTTTCTCCAATCCTTCACTACCAAACACTTACCACTTGTGATGGTGGGAACGCTCACCGTGTGGCGCCGAGTGGGCTTTTCCCAGTATTCCGCCCTATAGCTACTCTCGTGGAAACTCGTCTTCCTCATCTTTGCGCACAACTACACAGCACAGAATTAAGGATCATGTACCTTCGTCACAAGTCCTTTGCCGACAATGCGACGCTTTCTTTTGATTTTTGTTTTTTGTTTTTGTTTTTTACTTTATGGGACTACATGTTGCACTATTTGCATGTCGCTTGACAGTCTACATCACAACTGTTTCGTGAAAGCTCTTTTTTTTCCATCACAAACTATCACATCATGCAAATAATAAGCTCATCTGAAGTTTATGAAGTGATACAAAGATTAGGTCATATCACAAACTGTATGCTGCAATGTGCATCTTAATACAAGTAAAACATTCAATATAAATAAAAGATTAACTTCATATAACAGCAGTATAGTGTGCATGTATATAAAAAACTAATCATAATGAGATTAATTGGAAATCAAATATCACAAATCATATACATGAGAGTAATAAAGGACTGGATATCTGTCTTTAGAGAGCAACACTTACAAAAAAATAATAATAATAATAATAAAAAAATAAATAAATAAAATCTCTGTATGCTAACTATTTGCACTTTCATCAATACACAGTTGAAACTTTCATATCATTGTCCTCTTTGGATTTCTGATGTTATCTAAAGATCTTGCAAAAAGTGATCTGACAGCACAGAATTCATGAGATCTTATTTTAAGCAACAGAATTTAAGCTCTGTATATCCTACATTCCTGCACATTACTTCAAATACACAGTACGCAGCACACAGTATCCAGCTCCACTGATAGCAGCTTCCTGTGTCTGATTCACATCCTTTGATAATCAGAAGGTATTCAAATCCTGAACAGTTTACGGATGCTAAAACAGCTTCAGGTATGTCTATACTATTTATCTGTATCTGCTGTGTCAAACTTTGAAATATCATCAGACCACAACAAAAAACAAAAAAAGTTATACTTTATTGGCAGCAACATGTAACAAATCTACTAGATATTTTCCTCTGAAATTTTCATGCAAGTATTTGTCAAGCTCATAATCATACACTACTTTAGATGTTATGTAACAGACTGTGGCAGGTTAACACAGGCATATCAAGGCATGTTAAACTACTACCATATCTTTCTATTATGATATGGCAGCACAAGTGTTCCACTGGACAGGTGTTTCCATGTTTGAGCAGCTGCAGATCAGCTGTAGAGCATCTTCACAGCTGAGGTTTTTCTAATTCAACATACTTTCCTGAATTCCATATATATAACTCCTACTTCTATTCTTCTAATATAACATGTGAGTTCAAAGAGATTTTTCTAAATGTCTCTTGTTAATCTTAACTACAATTTTCATAAAAACTGGTGGAATGCAAACATTTTTTTCCAGTCTTTTTAGCTCATATTGCTAACCATAGAGGAATTATTACCAGTTTTCATCTTCAGAATTGTGATTCACTGCATATATATGCGTTACATGTATTATATTTACTTTCAAGAGTAAACTCTATCTTGTCAAATAAATGAATAGCATAGAATGAAGCACCAAAATGTGAGACTATGAAAAGCTACACAACAAATTTTCACATGTATAACCATTTCATATAAAAAAAAAAATTACTTGAGCTGACCATTGTCACTTAGTCTCAGTGCATCACTTAAAAGGTTTCAGTCATAATGGTACTACATTTGTCGGTATATTGTAAATTTAATTTCTCAAATAGGACCAGATGTTGTATCAAATGTTATAACTGAAGCTAATTTTCATTGTTTTTATCATAAATACTAACTAGGCTTCAGCCTGAATATCAGAATTAAGAAGTTAGTATTTAAACTAGAGCATGCCAAAACACTTTTGCACAGGGTCTGCTAAAACAATACCATTGGAGGTAGCAGAGTTAAATAGAAAAATGGACATGTTAGAATCAATATAGGCCTTGAAAAGTGGGTCAAAATTTGAAACACTATATACGAAGAGAAAAAACCACCTGTTATGTCCACAGCCAGAACCTCAGTTCAACCTGCCAATCCGCAGACTGTCCTAAATGATCCAGATTTGACATGACTTGATATTCTGTTTGGTACCTTTCATAGCAATTTGTAAAGAGCCATTACACATCCACTTTTGTAAGCCAGCAAAGTTACATTCTGGCAGTTCTATGCCACCATCAAAATATCTCATGCAACAGTGACAAAGTCATTCACAAGTAACACAATGCTGCATTAAAAAAAATAATAACAATAAAAAAATAACATCACTGGTCTTAGTGAGTGTTTCTATTACTTTATAGCTACGAGCAATCTGTAACAAGGATACAGCTTGTAAGTTCTTTCCCTCGTATTTTCTGTGAGACCTGTATATCTGCTGAACACTATTACACCTAATGGATTTTCAGAAAGTGCAATTTCAGTCAACTGTTTCTTATTCTTCTGAATAATAGATAAAAAAAGTCACACTGTCAACAAAATATGTCTTCTGACACATATACTCCTGTAGTGCTAAAAAGTCCAAAGCAGTTTTTTTGAGTTGCTTTCATCATTATGGAAGAAAGGTATACAAATAAATGAAGACAAAAAAAAAGAAGAGAAAAGAAAAATAATTAGACAAACAAGAAATCAGGTAAACCTCATATCTGTCTTAAAAACATGAATAAAAATACAGTTTTATCATAATACCATTAACAACAAAAAATATTACAACATACCTCTTTCTCTGACAAAGTCAGAAGATATGTTTAAGCCGTGGCGATCAATATTGCTGGGATTGGTGAAACGCTTGATCGATGTAGATGCCACCGCTTTCACTGCAGCCTTCCCCTCCTCGGAATCCTCTCCATGGCAGAAATATGTCTAATTTTTAGCTATCGTTAATTCTTTCCACACCAGAGATGGACATGCTGTAACTCACAGTCTAGAACCACTTGACAGCTATTACAGTTTATGACTCGTATACTGTACATGTCCTTGTGACAAGGCATTATCCTGAGATGTGGGGTCCTTTCTGCCCTACAGCATGCTTTTGCCGATAATCAACTTCTGACCTTCAGCTTGAACACTGCTGCATCCCAGTGATAAAAGGCTGGATATCAGATT